TACATATGGGCTATATCAGACATAGGTATATATTATTAAAACCTTTACACATGGTCAATATCAAACATGTATATACTGTGTAAATCTGTACACATGGATTATATCAAACATATGTACATATTGTATAAATCTGTACACATGGACTTTATCAAACATATGAATATATTGTATAAATCTGTACACATGGATTATATAAAAAATATGTATATATTGTATAAATCTGTACACATGAATTATATCAAACATATGTATATATTGTATAAATCTGTACACATGGAATATATCAAACACATTTATATGTCTTTTTAACTCTTTCACGTGGACTGTATCAAACCTTTGCATATATGTATCTAATACGGACATGCATACGTACTACATGTATATATATTACGACATGTATGTCTATATAGGCACATATAATATATTTATTGTAACTAACTTGTGTTTAGACACACACACACACACACGCACGCGCGCGCACACGCACACACACACACACACACACACACACACACACACACACACACACACACACAAACACACACAGATACACACACAGACACACACACAGAGACACACACACACACACACACATATTTATATTGCAACCTGTGTTTATAGACAGGCATATACAATCAAAACCGAAGCACTATGTGGAACATACCATACGCTTACAGATAAATCAATAAGAAATATTTCAAATAATTAAAACACAAACTGTGGCAGGTTTAGAGTACTACGTGAATTCTTCAAAGACACGTACAAGGATTTATTGATCATTGGCCTGATTTAGCATCGATTTTATAATAGTCTCAGTACTAACTGAGTGGCCCCATATAATCCAGCTGTTTAGGAACACTGTGCAAGATAGTGGTGCTGCTAGGCTAGCTTCTGGTACTATACAGCAGAACAGATGTTCGGACTGCATTAGAGAAAGTTGATGTGTCGTTAGAAGGACATTATCGACAATATACGTGCCAGTTATGTTGTAAACCTCAAAGGTTAGTGTATATGATTTCCGTTTCTGGGATGATAGGGCTTTGAATGGAGAAAGTATTGACGTTATTTTGAACGTCAATAAAACGATCATTAGAACAGTTCACCCTGTGAGAGAATGTCGGGGATAGTGGTTATAGTATCACCATTAAGTTCATTGGATAATTACACTGGAGGAGTAGAGGAGGCGAATCTCTGGGTAACAAGGCTCGTGATGCCAACACGTGTTAGCAAGGCCCAGCTTAAGCCCCGTGTTCTTGTGTTTTACATCCGAACATTGCGCTGAACATGTTTCAGTGGGAACGTCAGGGAATCAATCTGAGTTGATTCGGACAAGATGGTTATGGTCGATAATTCATTACTGCTTCTGAAGCATGGCACGTTAGAGGCACCCATTGTTTTCACTGCCAGATTAACTAGCATTATAATGTATCTGACCGGTGCACATGGGGAGCCTCATATTGTTAGAATTATTTCTAAAATGGCTAAATGCTATTTTCGTGACCTCTTGTCAGCAAAGTTGCATTTTATTTCAGCTGTGAAGTAACCAGTAGGATAGGTCTGTCTGTTGTTTTCTGGGTTTTGGTAACCAGAATCTTGTCTGTATCTTTCTTCTTTAATTAGCCAGAACGCTGAGTGTGTTAGCAGTATTCTGGATCTAGGTAACAAGAACGTTGCGCGTTCCTGGTATGTTCTGGGCTTAGGTAGCCATAATGTTGTGGGTATCTTTCTTCTCTAGGTAACCAGTATGTTGCGAATGTCATCTCTCTTTCTTATTCAGGTAGTCAGTGTATTGAGTGTGTCAGCTGTTCTTGTCCTAGGTTACCAGTGTATTGTGTGTGTCAGCTGTTCTTGTCATAGGTTACCAGTGTATTGTGTGTGTCAGCTGTTCTTGCCCTAGGTAACCAGTGTATTGTGTGTGTCAGCTGTTCTTGTCCTAGGTAACCACTGTATTGTGTGTGTCAGCTGTTTTTGTCCTAGGTAGCCAGTGTATTGTGTGTGTCAGCTGTCCTTGTCCTAGGTTACCAATGTATTGTGTGTGTCAGCTGTTCTTGTCCGAGGTAACCAGTGTATTGTGTGTGTCAGCTGTTCTTGTCCTAGGTGACCAGTGTATTGTGTGTGTAAGCTGTTCTTGTCCTAGGTAGCCAATGTATTGTGTGTGTCAGCTGTTCTTGTCCTAGGTGACCAGTGTACTGGGTGTGTCAGCTGTTCTTGTCCTAGGTAACCAGTGTATTGTGTGTGTCAGCTGTTCTTGCCCTTGTCAACCAGTGTATTGTGTGTGTCAGATGTCCTTGTCCTAGGTTACCAGTGTATTGTGTTTGTCAGCTGTTCTTGTCCGAGGTAACCAGTGTATTGTGTGTGTCAGCTGTTCTTGTCCTAGGTGACCAGTGTATTGTGTGTGTCAGCTGTTCTTGTCCGAGGTAACCAGTGTATTGTGTGTGTCAGCTGTTCTTGTCCTAGGTGACCAGTGTATTGTGTGTGTCAGCTGTTCTTGTCCGAGGTA